TAGGGTGGTTGGGATAAAGTCCAATGATGAGGAACAGAAGAGTGGCAGTCAGGGTCAGGCTGTAGAACATAAACTTTGGGGCAGCAAACAAGCGAAACAAGAAGAAATAAGTAAGATTGGGGTCGCGTAGGGGTAATGTTTGGTTTATCAGCTCATTCCATTCCTTGCGTTGGAGTGCATCCCCGGCAATAGTATTATCCAGGGCGGGTGTCTGGCATGCACGAACCGGGCTTATTTATATCCCAGGCAACCGTCATCAATTATGGGTCTCGTTATGATACCCGATTGGTTGTATGCAGGATCAAGGGAAAATATCTATCCCTAGCGGGTTAACGGTCCTGTGCAGGTTGCTGTATGCAGGTGCTGTGTGGTTCCTGTTATATAATTATCCACTCGACAGGCTGGCTTTTCATGAGGTAAGCAAATTGTGGGGATGTGAATAATGCAGGGGAGATCTTTTTGGACAGATCGCTTAGGCTGTCAAGTAGAGTGTTTGGCCTGGTTAATTAGCTCAGTGCTTTATTGATGGGTCTCTAGCGATGAATATAAAGCGCACTAGTATTACCGGATGATGAGCTGTCATACGAAAGTCATGCTCGAACAAGAATGAGCTCTGATGCTAACAACCTATATAAGCGATTGATTTCCATAGGATCCTTGGGAGTGTTTTTATTTTGGCACTTTCCCACTGATATTTTTGAACCCTAGTAGCAGTGAACAATTGCGTCTGGAGGAAATATTGATATAACTGTAGATAGTACTTCATGCCGGTCATCCTTCGCATACGCTACCTCGCAATTAACTTAGTCTCTTACTGAGCCACTTCCTAGAGTCTTTAGCAATCCCAATCACCTAACTACTAACCCTCCCGGCTCAAGTTAGACAGAGCGGACGCAAAGTCCTTATTTCCGCGCCCTTCGAATTTACATACTCGAATACTAATTGCAGAAAATTCTACAATACTGGTGATTTTGAAGATGTCGCTCAGAATGCCTTCACCTGGACTTTGTCGACCCAGACGACATGACATCGTCCGTCCTGTGAATCTAGCACGGTTCGCACAATTCGCTCGGGAATTGCGTCCCCGCATCGCAGAACCATCAACTATAATCATCGCTCCTTATCCCCACCAGCTATTAGAATACCAGATCTTGCTTTAAAACCCCGCCTTTTATCGGAGCAGGTCTGGGTCACTAGCGAGAAAGGCTAGAATTCCATCCACTTCGCGGCCCCCTTATCTCCAGATGCGTGCCGTTGTATTGTAATATTACATAGTGAAGAATCGTCTTCTTTGTATAAATTGTTCAAGGCGTTCTCTCATCCTGTCGGAAGTGGCCCGTATTCTGTTCTCAAGCTACTATTTGTTCGGTTGGTCGTTTCTGTATGACCTTGGCTTACTGAATGGCATTGTTTCGCCAATCATAAGCTGCCATGATTGCCTTGAGTTGGCTCAACTTTACACTTACTACCACACCTTTTCCAGTAACTGTCGCCACTGCATGTGTCACCCCCGGAGCTGTCACTCAGTCTTCAGCAATTATTTTCCGCTGCAATGCCAGTGACCCCATTGTCAATCAATATACCGCACAAGGGAACGAAGCGTGCGTAGATAACTCTCTGGCATCCAATGTGTCTATTCCACTACTGGCAGACATGAACGCGCTGGGCTCAGTTGTCAGTATTTGGTTGCTAAGAGACCCTCTTTCTTTCTGGTGCATCCTAATGACGCTTCTATATCCATTCTCTCCAACGTTGCTCGGATGGTTCCTCTTCCTATTTTTCGGTCATGGAATCAGGGTCAACTCCGCAATGTTCCAACCTTGATACCTTGATTGCCCAATACATTTGTCTAAGGTTACACTCTTGCCTAAGCTGTTCTTGATACCGACATGACAAAATATTGGTTCCCGTTCCAACACCGTCCCTCGGGCAGTTCATCCGTTCCAACGGCCTGCCCTCTACCGCCGGCTACTTCCGCAGTGTGAGAAAGCCCCTGATTCTGGATTCAAAATGGTATATACTGCTGATACACAACTGTCCAATCCCAAGCAATGCAGTAACCATCTCGAACGCAGACTGTGGTTATTGGCACACCATCCAAATGAACGAGACATGTGACACTGTTACAGAGATGTTCGGTATGTCGAAAGCAGACTTCTGCTTTCTGGATCCTGGAATAGGCAACAGCTGCTCTAACCTCTGGCAAGGAAACAGCTTCGTACGTGCTTCATCCTCTACAGTCACCATGACAAAATACTCAACTGATCTTTCCAATACTACTAGTGCGTTCAAGCGGTGGGCAACATCGACACCTATTTCGGATATCCAATGACAAGCCGGACGGCATATATCACTTTGCCTCAATCATCAATCTTGACGCAAATGTCACTACCAACCGTACTACAACGAAAGAATACTTTGTTCGAACTTCTGTGTTTGCGATACTTAGACGATCTTCAGGTGGCTGCTTCCAGCAAGCCCGGCCTTCGACAAGGTGATGGCCACATACAATAACACTGTTTGGGAAATGACTCGAAATCATACTCTCTTTCGACAAGCTCTGGCATAATACAATATCTATGCAGATGATTCTTTGACATCTGAGATGCTTACTAATGATGTTTTATGGAAGACTACGATCGCGTCTGTTTACTTGACCTCTTGAAGCCGTTGCAGACTCAGGGTTTCAACACCAGTATCTCACGGGTGACCTCGAAGACCGACATTGGAACACACATAACTTAACCGATAGCCACTGCAACGGCGCGACTAACGGCTTCCAAGAGTTCAGTGTCTGCTATTAACAGCGCGAATACGATGACTACTAGCAAGATCACTCAATCTTCCGAAGCGACTTCTATGGCATTTTCGTCCGTGAACACCTCCCCAGATGGCATTCGCGGCGAGTCTACCGGCTATTCGTGCACCAACTCAGCCGCAAAATTGGCTACTGGTGGGTTGAACCAGGGCCTTCGCTTAGAGTGATGACTAATTGGGTTTTCCCCGAACCACAATCAGTGGGTCGACTAGCGACTACTGCGAAACCGTGACCCCGAATACGGCGAGTGCAAGCCTTCCTCTATAACTAGCCAGCAGTCTTTGATTCCGATACCCACAGCCAACATCTCAGCTAACGGTCTGTGTGGGGCCAATAATAGGGGTTATACCTGCCTGAACTCACATTTAGGCAATTGCTGCAACCTTTATGGATACTGTTACGTGACTTGCTTGTTCTATGCATGAGACGAACAATGCACTCACGAGATCGTTCTAGTCGATCGGGTCCAGCGACTATTCTGCCTCACAATCCTGTGATAAGCTCCTATGGGGAATGCGCTGCTTAAGTCCGAGACTTCCGAACGCTCGTCGACCTCCCGATCCACCAATCATAAGCGAAGACCCCGGAAGCTCGGATGTATACTTTGTACTAAGACCCTACATAACCAGGGATGCGGACCCGCACTACGAAATTAGCAAAGACAAGAAAGTAATTCAGGGCATCCACCTGCCTCTTTTTGAATAGAGGATTGTCTACACCAGAATCTAGAAGGAAAAGAGCCAGTTGACCGGCTACCTAGCCGGAAATTGCCGACCTTGGCATGATTAGTGTTAAGAATCTTATTGCTTCTCGGTCAATTGTAGCTGGTTGTAGCACACTCCATACCCTGCGCATCGATCATCAACAAACCCTTCCGACTCATGATTGATGATTGTGCAAGACGGTACCATGGTTCTGCTCTGGGAGCAAAAATGCGATTCTGCGCCATTCCATAGTTGGTAGCTAGCTATTTTACGGTTATGTGTGGGTTGCAGCAGATTGGCTGACAATTTCCGGTGTTCAAATTAACACAATCGTGTGAGGCCTTTTATTTTCATTTTTCGTTTCTTTCTGTCTCTATGGAGCTTTCTTCGGACTGCTATCTGGACAGAAGAAAGTGATCAAGATTGTTGCCTACACTGAGTGGTGCCTAATGCACTGCTAAGCTTCGGAACGGGCCCCACCTAGGGTTTTACCGTAATCCGGTCCGTCCTGTTATTTCCCCTTACAAATAGAGTCAGCCTCTGGATGTTTCTTGAACATGCTGGCTGAACCTCTCTCCATCTTTCTTTCACAGAATGCTTCAACTTGAGCCCCTCATCCCATCCACGGACCTTTGGCCGGGTGGCATCCCAGCATGTCTTCGTGTAGAGCCCAGTTCCGTAGAATGGTTTGATATGGCCGAAATAACCAAAGGCTGGCTCCAGTTTGTGCAGGTTCGGACCAGCCAAACAATCGGCTTTCTCTTGCAAGGAATCCATCTGACAGGAATCATAGGAAGAATGGACCGAATCAGAGAGTCTGGATGAGCAGCTCCAGCAACGCCGCCGCCTAATGGAACGATGGGCGTCTGCGAGTCAAGACTTCCGTGACGTAAACTAAGTCCTGTCACTTTCAGTGGTCTAAAACCAGCATTGATCTTGGATAATTTTAGTCTTATCAAGCTCGCGCGTCGCTACCCGAATCAGGCATCGAATATTCCCTGCCTTTGCGTACTCGAATCCGACATTCACCGAAGGAATTCTTGTGTCTGGCGCCTGTAGATCCCGAAAACCACGCGACCAATTACACCCGTCTCGTCAAGCTACTAATACTCCTTTACACTTCCATACATCACGGAGGCATGTCGCATCCGATGGGTCACGAGCCTGATCCATACCCGCAAATCCCAGCAGTATTCCCGGATCATACCAGATGTCCACCAACCCCAGAGGCCTTGATACCACAGTATTGCCTTGAGTCCGCGGATTTTCGCTATTTATCAATGACGCACACTGGAACAGTACTATTCCCAGGCTTTTTCAATACCATTTTCATAGTGATTGACCAGGAAGCTTTGAATACTGGCCAGCTAATCTTGCTTGAACTTCGCCCGAACGGACAGATCGAAGATTGTACGCGTATACGACCTTGGCACGCAGGGAAGATCATGTTATTTCACAACGCTCTAGGATGGTTTTTGAGCGAAATGAGCGGCAAACGGGAACGCTCCTCTTGGCTCCCGGGGAACTACCCGTAAGCCAATCTCCCACAACCGCTCCAATTATTGAAAAAAAATCCGGAACTATGGAATTTTGCTGACCAAACGTGACTTTCTTTCCTTCTCCTGCATGTACAGTCTGAATCTAGATCAGCCACTAGTCGATATTATCGACTCGGCCCAGCAGAAACGCGAAATCGACATCCGAGGATTCACACGGGAGCTCTTGACGGCGCAGCTGGAGGTCTTTGCGCCAGGATATCTTGCGTTGGAAAAACAAGGTTTGGAAGTTCAATATGATCTTGCCAATTTGATGGCTGGAGATGATATCCGCAGCTATAATTATATGATTCCCATGGGAGATCCCGCCCGGAGACAGGCACCGTCAAGACAGTGAGGAACGGGGGACTCACTATGCACCTTTGCATTTGTCCCATAACGCGTATATATTGTGGCTCGCATCTGTCTGTGTTTCACCGTTTTACTCGATTATTATTCCACTAGAAATCATTCGTCGGAAATATCCCAAAATATGCCCCTCTTCGTGGTTCATGTGTTCATCTATTTTAGGAAATCTATGTGGCTTACAACATTAGAGAACTTACAGCTACATGCTTCATGGCAATTTTTGTCTTTTGGGAATGAGTACAAAGTCCGCGACGCATCGAGTCATCCGTAGAGAACAGGACGAGGAAACCAAGAAGTATTCGGTCCATTAGGTACAAGTGAGTATCTGTAGGTTAATGTCTGCCCAACCGTTGACGTGAGCATTTAACTAGACAGCTTGTTCATCCCTCATATTACATAAGGGGAACAAAAAATTGAGCTTAACATCTTTTTCACAAAAGGAACAGACCTTTCAATGAATCTTCAAGCGACAGTAGGTGGAAGCGATAACAAAACGATGGCGTATCTCGTCTTTGAGCTTTGGGGGTACTTCTCCACAGGTCTCAGCCGGAACCGCATCTTGATAGTTGGCAGTTGCATAGTAAAGACTCCCATAACTGTTGACGTTCATAGTTAGCATATGTATATATCAGAATCGGCGGATGACTACACCAGTTCAGTGGTACTTGGAGCAATTTTGTCTGTAGTTCAGCGAGCTCTTGCGCGAATTGCATTTTGTCATCGATGTGTAGATCTTCCCACACTTCTTGCACCATGGTAGCTAATGCTTCCTCCATAATGATATACTCAGAACCGACAGAGTTATCCATGTCTGCATCCCAAGCATACACAGGCATCTCGGTATTCCGAGAATCGTTCAAGCCTAGAGTGGATTTTAGAGAGATCACATTATGTTAACGAAGCACGTTCAAAAGCTCACAAAGTCCATGGTTGCGACCCCAGATGCCGTAGTATAGTACCTGGGCCCGGCATTAGGGTGGGGGATTCGTGCAATTACGGTTGATTCATTATCCATCTCAAGTCTGAAGCATTTATTGTAGTTCCCTTCTGCTAATTCCATGATTACAGTGCATGTATCTGCACTGATGCTATGCGCTGCGATCCTCTTTAACTCAGACACATTGAATGGGGTGTATCGGTTTTGGAGTTTCTTCTCTTCATTCCGTAGCCAACGGCCAGCGGTGTATTGGAAGAGGTCCGTATCGGATTCAGCCATCCTCGCAGGCTTTGATACAGAGAATGACAAAATTGTTGGCAGGGGATAGACGGAAGAGCAGTGAGTATGACACCAAACTTGTATGGCAATGAAGTGGTATATCAAATTTCGTGGCTTCATTTGAGTTTTATATTTCGAGACATATCCTGTAGTGACAGGAAGTTTGGATTGTGCTAGAAGGTCGTTGCGACTTAATATGCCTACTGATGCATTTTGCCTGTAACTTTTAAACGGAGCCTTCCAGGGCATCGTTATTTGCTCTCTGGATGGATAGCGCAATCCCACCCGATTTGAGGCTTATTAGCAAATGCTGGGATGTCCGATACGGCCACGGGAAGCTACCACATCCACATCACCAATAGGGGAGGCTAGACTACATCAATCGCATCTGTGAATCAGAAGAAGATAGCAATATCTGCTATCTCCTTTTCTCGATATTGTGTGACCACTGACGGCAACTACTATGAGATACATTGACATGCCCAAACAAACAAGTTCATGTCTGTGGCAGAAATAACCTCCCTAAGCAGAAGGCGGTCTGTCAGTCAGGTGGTGGCTTCCGCGATTCCGAACAACTTCCGTTGGTAGATCCCGCATGACAGGTGAGAAGCGATATAATCCTACTTAACAGGATAAATCTGGATACAGAAGCCAAATGGTGGGTCCAGATGCAGTTGCACATGAGTCACGGGGTAGCAAGCGCTCTGGGGATGGTATTCACCTCCACGGTGCTGATCAGCCCAATCCATCACCTGACTCGAAACGGCAGAGACGAGGGAGATATGTCTCTCATGCCTGGTATGATATTATGCTTCGGCGACCTCCGCTTCTTCCAGTGAGCTGACCTTGAAATCTGAAGTATGCAATGCCGCCGGCGAAAGGTCAAGGTGAGAGTGCACAGTACCTGTCCGAGTACGATTCAACTTTTAATTGTGAGCGCAGTGTGATGGCAACTTGCCTTGTCAACCCTGCCTCCTTAGCGGGAGACGATGTTCCCAGAATGCCGTCGATTTGCGACGCCGAACATTTGTTAGAAATGAAGTGCCTGCAAGTGGTGTGAGGGAATCAAATGCTCGAGAAGACATTGACGGTTCGGAAGATCCTGCGTCTGTCACCTACTATCACTGATGCACTTCACGGACTGCTTCTAACCAAAACTTCAGAATAGGGGGGAACAGTTTATTGACAAGACTGGATCGAGTGGAGCGACAGTTGCAGTTCCTCACCAATGCTCTACGCTCTGGCTCAAACAGATATGACCCCATCGATGCAGAAACAGGCCCAGTGAATAGATTAGGAGTGACCGGAGTCGAAAATGAATCCTTTGTCGCTTCGAAAAGCAAAGAGTTTACGCATGATGAGGTAAACTCCTTTTCTGGTGAAACTTCTATCAGACATGCGTTGGAGGAAGTCGAAGGACACTTGGAGACAACCCAAGGCCACGGTGGTACTGCCACCAACGTTCCACACTCTCAGATTTCAACTCCGATCTTAACTCCGTCGCCTCATCACGAGAGGAGAGAAAAGAGTCCAGAGTATGATGATCACCAAGACATACTTCAAATGTACGATATTCAGCCAAAGCGACTGCAGTGGGATAAGTCCTTGAACATCTTTTGTACCGAAATCCATATATTGTATCCGTTCCTACACCTACCAGCACTCCGACACAATTACGACGCCATGTGGAATAGTTTCGCTTTGCCTTCCGAACCCGACATTCACAACTCTAAGATATCCGAGATAGCGCTGGCTCAGCTTCTTACATGCATTGCTATTGGCCAATGTACCGAGTCTCCAAGGTTGGAGAATCGAGAAGGGCGACATTCGGCAGGCTGGAGATTATATGGAGCGGCATATGGAATGATTGGAGACCTCCTTGACAGTTTCGGAAACTGCCCAGACTCACTACAACTTCTGCAAACACTAGCTCTAATGGTTCGTTGCAGCCCTCATCTAACAATATGTATAAATCCCGCTTACATTGCGTTCCCGTAGGTGATTTATCTCTTCCGACTCGATATCTTCGGGAAGGCCGAAAAGCTCCTGGCTCTTGCCATCAGCCATGCACATCATCTTGGGCTGCACCGATCTAGAGTATTACATAACATGTCTCCATTTCACAGTGAGATGTTTCGACGAATGTGGTGGAGTCTCTACATCTTGGATCGTCGCGTGGCTATTGAGACCGGCCACCCCTTCTTGATCCAAGACATCAATGTCGATACGCCTTTACCACGACCAGTAGACGATGACCAGCTCTCCAGATTCTGGAATCGCTCGAATGTTGACCTACACACACTTCAACCATCGGAAGCAAGCAGCCCTTATACCACTTCGTTTCGCTACTTCAAAGCTATGATAACTTATTCGCAAGTTCTGGGTAAAGTCTGGGAGGGGCTCTATGGCGCTACAAGCTTGGATCAGGCTCCCAAATATTCCCTCCGTGAGCACCTTGAACGCCTGCTGTTCCGGGCTCAGAAAGATATCCACCAGGACTTTGCCCATCCCCGCTACGGACCACGCGCAACACAATTTGTCGAAACGCCATGGTGGCTGATAAAGCAGCAAGCGCTAATGCGAACTGTATGTTACTTAGTCCGCTGGTTTCTATTGTTTCTGTCTTGCTAACATCCCCAGCGGTGGTTATCCGCTCGCCTTCTGATACGCAGGCCTCTGCTTTTCGCATCTGATACATCTGACGGGACTCCTCTTGACTCGTTCGAAAACGAAGTGTCATGCATGCAAATTGCCAATAGCATTATCGAAGAAGTCTCTCAATTCCCTGAGGAAAAGGCCATCTTCACGTTTCCCTTCATACACTACCTAATCGGGGCGACAATAACCTCTCTCGGGCTGATAATAAAGGAGAATACGTTCAAGGCTGCCTATGGCGGAGCCACAGTTCATGCCGTCCGATTGCTGGAGTCTTATTGCACCAAAACATGGGTATCTGGGAAGTTGATACGAGTTGTTTCAAGGCTGAGTCATATGACGTCTCGGTTATTGAAAGATGACGTTGTCGTGGGCTCGGGAATCTCACTATACAAACATTCATCTCAGGCTCCCGGGGTTCTGGACGCTCAAGTTCGACAAACAGAGATTGGCAGTGGCGAAGGTTCTTCTGTGGCTCGCCCAAGCCAAGTAGTAAGCGAACCGTTAGTAGGGGAACGCGAAATTGTGGGGCCTGACATGAATGTTCGTTCGGGTGAAGCAGGCGAACCCACTTGTCAGATGCTACCTTTGTACGGGCGAGATATTACTGAGCCTTGCTTGCCTACGCAAGTTCTGTCATCCGATGGCCTGGCCAGCCTAGTTATGTCTGACTTTGATTTCGAGGAAGGTGTTCCGGTTGGTACCAGATTTGGAATACATCCTACTCAAGGTGCTGCACGCATATACCCCTTACCAAGCGACCAGCCAGAAGGGAGTGCAGGCACCAGTCATACCAGCTCAAGGCCCTTGGCTATGCATAACGAACTAACGGCTGGTGAACCAGTGGCACCTTTCGATGCTGGAAATTTTGGAGGTAGTGGATTGGGGGAGATGGAACGGCTAGAAGCGTTGTTTGGCAATTATGTCAACTCTGATTATATGCACGGTCAATACACGTGATGCCTTTTCAGAGACTAATAGACGATCTAAATTTATCCATCTTCATCGTTCACACGTCCTCGATTGCTATGTAAGAAACCTGGACGTTCCACGGCTTCACTCCCAGTATACTTCAAGAGAGGACTTGGTATTATAAAGCAAGAACCAGGCTAATCCGCTCGAGCCAGCGAAGTGTGCGACGGCAAGACACCAGCATTCTCGAACGACCTGTACGTTTCGATCCAGGTGTCGAACGTGTTATCGTGTCGCTTCCAGCCATACTTCCTCGCTTTGTTGATGGACGAAATCGTCAACCACGACTTGCCCGTCGCCCAGTTAAAGAAACCCCAAGTGCCCCAATCAAATGCCTCGACCTTGCCTCCGTGCTTCTGAACGACAGTCTCCCACACTGCACGCTTGTCCTTTGCCCATTCGACCATATCAATCTCGTTGCTCAGGGTCTTTGCCTGGCCAGCGGCCTTTTCGAACTTGGGCTCTGGTACCTACAGGACGACACAGTTAGCCTGGATGTGGCGGCGTTACTATCACAAAGAACACCATACCTCAACCCCGAAATATTTAGCCACATCCTGCCAGATATGCTTCCACACAAACACATCACCATTAACGTGATTGAAGACCTCATCCCTGCAGTGTTCCTGGGAGGAAGCCCAGACCGTGAGATCCGCCAAGCTCGGTGCGTAGGAGTTATCGTCAATGGAGTTCCAAAAGTACTCGTTTCCGGGGAACGTTGCAGGCTGGTTGAGCTCTCTGCAGATGAGCATGTAGATGGCGATGGTCAATGCCTCCGACATTCCGTTTGCTAGAGGATTTCAGGACAGCTTAGCCGACAGATCGCATCACAAAGGAAGGAATGGATGAACTGATAAATGAACCCACCATGCGGAGCGTATCCGTTGATCGCATTCGGTCGGATAATATTATACGACCAGGTATTCCTTCTCTTCTGGGCCTCCCTAAGATAATCTTCCTGATTGTAATAGAAATTGAACCCTTGATCGTCGTACCGCGAAAATGACTCCTCCAAAGGCACCTTCACTGGACCGAGATGCACCCCGTAGTACTACATTTATCAGCATCAATCCCATAACTCCTTCCACACACCTCCAAAAGAACCAATACATAGAGAAGAAAACATACCTTCCCCCCAGTCTGCAAACTCACCCTCCGCAACGCAGGACAGACCGCATCCACAGCATCCAAGAAGTTCCTGAACAGAGGAACATTCTTCTCTTTCAGAACTTTGAAGTCATTATCGTGCACGTAGGAAGTGAAATAAGCGTGCGTTACTGGTGCACAGATATCCTTGATCTTAGAAACAATAGTTTCCACGGACTCAAGGAAATCCACAGCGACGAATTCCACCCGCGGGTCAATCCACGGTGTGGGCAGGGGACGTCGAGAGGTGACGATGATTTTGGACCTTGGGTGATTGATGATGTTAGGGAAGATGATGGTGTGGTGAGGAGTGATGAGGGGTAATGGGGTTACCATTCTTGCTTGGGTTGGCGGATGAGATGTTCCACAATGGCGTAGCCGCTGATGCCGTTGGCACCGGTCACGAAGGCGACTTTTTCGGGGAGGGGGGACATTTTGCTTCTTGGTGGTACTTGAGAGGGAGCTATTGTTTGTGGTTTAGGGTGGTAGTGGTGGTGATTGAGATGGGGGGTCTGTCTCTTTTTATATAGTTGACATGGTGGGATTGCTATATCTACTTGGTTATGGATCAAGTCGATCCTTGCCTTTTTGCCATGGCACGGATATCACGGCATCTGAAACAGAGCCGAATGATAATCATCTGTCCATGGAGCTATTCTTCTGGGTTGGGCTGGTTGCTGATTCGGTGCGACGTCTGTACCAGTTCCATCTTTCTCAAAATGAAACCACGTCAACTTCTTCATCTACCCAATCCATTTTCAGTTATCCATGGAAACTGCATCATATTGTGGACACCAACACTCGCCTTCGAGAATATCAATTTGCCTCCGTAGGATAATCGGATACATCGGCCTCAAATGCCCCTCTCGGCGATGCCGATCATCTGCAGCTGTGGATGCAGTTAAGCATAGATTTAACCTTTCCTGGCTCGATGGGCGGATTAGGGCTGGTGGGTGGGTGGAGCCAGATTTCTGTTGTCGATGGAGTTCCGTGCAAGTTCCGTGATTGTTCCGTTGCTTTTTCCGGGTAGTTCCATAGTTCCGTGGCAGCAATGTTCCTGCGGCTACACGATCAGGCTGGAACGCTATACTCATGTTCTCTATATAGACTAATATCAATGATTGTTGGCAGTAAAGACTGAGAGGGTCTTCTCTCAATCTCATTGGGGTGAGCAGCATTATACATAGTACTAGTAATTAGTAGCTGCTGTACCATCCGCTTAGAATATATATTCGCTGTACAGGATAGGAGAATAACCATTGAGCCGGTAATTCCACCGGGAGTAAACAGCATTCTACTAGTAGTAGTCCACTAGATCATTTCTACCATGTATGTTGTTCGCTGTAGTTCAAATATAGCATCATATTCTTGTAAGCACTGAGTTACTTCATGCACCGGGCCGCTACTCAAAAACGAAGTGCAGAGATGCCAGGGTAAGAACATTAGTTTCCCCTCATATGGCAAAATATATACTGCATCTTTCATCAAATGGGGCTGTGGTTTAGTGGTATAATATTCCCTTAGCATGGGAGAGGTCCGGGGTTCGATTCCCCGCAGCTCCATTTTTTTCTTTTCCTTTTTAGCCACCCCAACCACTTCCATCTCACAAACTACACAGCCAACAACACTATACCACTCCCGTCCTAGACAGACCGTCCCTCCTCTCCCAAGCCATTCCCCAACACACCACACCACACCACACCTCTCTTACCCACCCCCAACTCCCTATCTACTCAACCGCCACCACCACCATGCCCCCCCAAATAGCCTTCATATCCGGCCCAATCGACACCGGCCCCAACGAATCCTACTTCCACACGCACTACCCCCCGCTCCTCACCGCCGCCATCGCTCGCAATGACTCCTTCGTCCTCGGCCCCCTCCCCTACGGCGTCGACTCTGATGCCCTCTCCTACCTCCTCCAGTACCCAGTCTCTCCCGCCCGCATCACCATCTTTGTGACCTCACGCGAGGACAGCCTCTGGGGAATGCAGTTTCGCGCGCTCGGGGTCAATGTGCATGTTGTCGAGGGGGATAGTACCCACGATCGGGACGTCGCTATGACTGCCGCCAGTACGTATGATATCCTGAGGATCAGGACGGAGGAGGAGGCGAAGCAGATGTATGGGAGGTTGTGGAGGGAGGGGTACGTGACGAATACGGAGAGGAACTGGAGGAGGAGGAGGGGAGTGGGGGAGGATGAGAGGGTGGAAGCGGAGGTGGTTAACGGAGTGTTGGGGGTGAATGGGGGGAAGAAGAAGAAGAAGAGGTTTTTGGGGAAGGTTTTGGGGAGGTGATACATATTGTTCTTTATTTGGCTGTATCTAGATGTAGGGGTTGTGTTGTGTATGTGTGCATTGTTGATACAAGGGAGACACATGTTGTGCTACTTGGTAGCCCTAATTCGGGAATTTAAACACAATCTTGACACCATTTCCCCAACAATGTCCCAGTAATCGGTCCCAAGGATGAAAATCTAAGACTAACCATCCGAGCCTGTGTCGTTTCCACCGGCGGAAGCCACCGCACACCCAGGAGGAGAAAACCGGGTTTCATCGTTAGTGTCATTGCGGCTTGCTTCGCACAACTGGGTTAGACTCTAACCCGTAGACCCCGACGAATGTAGGATAGGGCATTTCTCATTCTGCAGCTCAGCAAACGATCCATTGAAGTGATAGTGCTCTGGCTCAAACTCGAGAATGTCGAGGAGAAAGGGCATTATACACTTGATAAGGACCCTCTACGTTTCTGGAGAGCCATCGCAATCGATGACTTGCAGTTTCAATAGAGGACAAGATCCACCTTTGCTATTTCTAGCAAAGCATTGTTCTGCTCCAAGGTGTTTCTTGGTGACATAAACAGGATCTGTACCAGAAATATACTGTCAGAAAGGCTCAATGAAGGACCTATCCTGCAATATTGATGGGTGCCCTCACCTTGGTGCCACACATGATCGCAGCCATCAAAAGGATAGCACACCGCAGATCCGACGGGCCGATGTAGGCCAAGACCTACTGACGTGGATTAAGATGAAGAGCCTGACGAAAGGTCTGCTCCGTCCACCGGGCCATCCGATTCACGGCTGCGGCCATGTCCTGCTCAGTCACATTGCGAAAGCCATCGGCAACATCACTGGAAATTGGGATGCAAGCAAAGATGCGTTCAGGTTCCTGATGCGCAAAGTAATCGATGGCGAGTGGGAAGCAATGCTTTCCGCGGTACTTTTCAGCACCTTGTGCCCACGGTGCAGCGGTGGCGGACTGATTCATCATGCGATTATGTGAGGCTCGATAAGTGGTGAATTTTCTAACTTTTTGGGATAGACGGAGAGACGAAGTACTGAGGTAGAGACAATGAGAGGAGATACAGACGCTTCTTATAAATTTGTCCTGATGCCCGTGAGTTCAAGACAGAGATCACAAGAGCCTACTCTGGACAAATCTCCACGTAGTCATGATCGAGGGGGAAGGTACAGAGTAGGGTATTTGCGGGAGGCGTCCATATTTGCCTCAATAGGAAATAGTAAGCCTTCCAGGTACTGGATCTCGCCTGTCTGGTCAAGTCCCTTACATTGAAAATGCTAGTATGACTGTAAGTCAATTTGTCGTGTCATTGGTCCCTTCGTCCCAGACATCAGCTAGCCGTAGGAGGCCCGGTACAATGATGTCGATATCCCAGCCTTGACATGGTAGCCTCACATGACCCTCAACCAGTAAGTAAATGATCTATTGTAGGGGCGAAACAGTGGAGGGTATTGTTGTGTATCGGCGGGTATTTGGCGACCCATCAGCGGTGGAACGCCCCACGACTGAACAGTGGACGGAGTGGATGTACTCCGTAGT